CAGCTGTGAGCCATAGTGCAGTGCATCACACTGGCTGAGTGAAATCATGATCAATCCTTGAGGTGCTTTGGAATTCAGTCCGAGTACTCAACCTAAATGTCCTGGTTAAGGATGGACTCAACTCTTTCCTTCTAGTGTTGCTTTGAGAGGCCCCCAAGGAAAAAATTGTATTGCTTCCCACAATAGCTCAAAAGGGGCTCTCACACCCAGCTGAGGCTAGGGTTCTGAAACATTTTACAACAGATATTATAAAGATCCAACTTTCCTTCAGTTCTCCAAAACTTTATGGCTGAATCCAAACTACTTTAGCAAAATGACTTCATCTTCCTTCTGGAGTTTCCTTTCCTATTACGGTGGGTTGTACTTTGGTTAAGTGCATAGGATCAAGCTGATAAGGGTGAAGCCCTATGAAGGATGCACAAGTTGATAGAGGAGACCCACCATGAAGGATGCCGAGTGTGGGTATGTGAGCAGAACCCTGTGCAGAACAAAGCTTGAGTTCTTGAATGTTCTTGCATTCAAGTCCTGACTCTGCTCCTTAACTTGTGTGACCTTGCCCAAGAGGTCATTCCTCAGATCACGTCTGCAAAGTGCCTCCTACTTAGCAGGTGCTCAAGAAATGTCAGGTAGCACTGTCGCTGTTATTTATTATTATTTTTAAAGATTTATTTATTTTTACTGCAAAGTCAGATACACAGAGAGGAGGAGAGACAGAAAGATTTTCTGACCAATGAATCACTCCCCAAGTGAGCACAATGGCCAGAGCTGAGCTAATCCGAAGCAAGGAACCAGGAACTTCCTCCAGGTCTCCCACGCAGGTGCAGGGTCCCAAGGCTTTGGGCCATCCTTGACTGCTTTCCCAGGCCACAAGCAGGGAGCTGGATGGGAAGAGGGGCTGCTGGGATTAGAACCAGTGCCCATATGGGATCCCGGTGTGTTCAAGGTGAGGACTTTAGCGACTAGGTCACCGCAACGGGTCTATTGCTTTTACTTTAAAGAAGCTAACAAAAATGGCAGATTCAGGAAGGAAAGAGTGACAGGTGGCATCAGATGTGCAAAATCTTGCGGCTTCTCCAGTGTTTTGTCTTACATAAGCTACACACATCTGTACCACAGAGAGCCACCAGATGGGTCACTGCCATTGCTGCACAAACCCTGCCTGGCATCCAGGTGCTGGAGGGCCTGGGTCCAGTCTGACAGCAAACTGCCGAGGCCTGCTCCTGATGTGCCTACTCAACAGTAGGATTTGCAGTCATCTTTCTGGTTTACAAAGGGCCAGGGCTTCTGATAAAACCAGATGATGAGGGGTTTGGATGTAGGATCAGTTAGGCTGAGTCAGGATTGAAAGAGCTACAGGTGCAATGTGGCTAAGGAAATTGGCTCGACATGAATAGCAACTAGGAGCAGCACATACCCAGTGAGCCAGTCCCTTTGGCTGTACACAAGAAATTGGCATTAGGCCGGTGAGACTGGCAAACCGAATCTTTCCACAGGTTCAGTTGCCCAGTTCAGTTGTTCAGTGATCACTTAAGGGTGTCATTAAGAAGAACAAGTCTTTAAATAACTGTTTTGGTGGCAGGGGAAGCTGCACTTACCCAGGTGAGTTGCCTGGGGATTTTTCATTAGGATTGTACGAACATGAAATCTTGGTTAAGGGCAGAGATGATTTGAGAATCACATAAACAGTACATTGAGGATCTTTTCAACTCATGCTAGTCCATGTTTGGCAAGAAAACATTTACCGTCAGAGTACGAAGGGGCCACAGAACAGCATTGCAGAATGGGAAAGTGCCTGCTGCATGGGATCGTTCTAGGATAAAGAATGACGTGTAGAAGGCTTCGACCAGTGTCTGGCACACAGCACACGCTCTGTGAAGCTCGTGTTTGCCCAAATATATGCGGGGGTGTGGAGGAGTTTGTGGCTTTGCTCATGACTGGACTCAGAAGCTTGCTCTTTTACTCTGCAGCACTGAATGGGGTCTACTGAGATGTGTGTGCCCACTTCTGAGCCTGCACCGCTTCATGCCAGTCTATGTTCCCTCTCACTCTGCCAGAGTGCGAGCCCTCACCGGCTCCAGCCCTCCAGAGGTGGCCACGTCTCTGGGTGCTCAGGAATGAGCCACGATTGAGTATGTGAAGACGCTGAAGGCGGTTCTGTTAAAACACGATTGGAAACTGGTTTGGCACAAAGATTATCTGTAAGTCCAATGAATTCACAGATGAGCTCAACTCTCATGTCTGGTTTTTCTACCCTTCAGCTCCAGCTCTCTCTTTCCTTTTGATGTTTTTGTGTTCAGGTAAGCTTGCTTGTGCAGTGGGTTCAAGTTCAGGTTCAGGCCCTTATCATCACCAAGAGCAAGGGAGCCCTTTGTTCTTGAGGAATGTATAACTCCCATGATTAATTTTGTTCTGACTGGATTGTGTACCAGTTCCTCGGCCAGCAGCATGAAGACCCGATGGCTTGAGTATCCAGGTTTAAATTCAGGAGTGCAATTAGTCCACCCACGATATACCAACTAAGAATAGGGTTGGGGGCCCGGCACAGTAGCTTAGTGGCTAAAGTCCTCACCTTGAACGTGCCAGAATCCCATATGGGCACTGATTCTAATTCCGGCAGCCACGCTTCCCACCCAGCTCCCTGCTTGTAGCCTGGGAAAGCAGTCAAGGACGGCCCAGAGCGTTGGGTCCCTGCACCCGCGTGGGAGACCTAGAGGAAGTTCCTGGCTCCTGGCTTTGGATCGGTGCAGCACCGGCCTTTGTGGTTACTTGGGGAGTGAATCACTGGACAGAAGATCTTTCTGTCTCTTCTCCTCTCTGTACATCTGACTTTGGTTGGAATGATTTTCTAGGAAACAATGGATGCAATAAAGGGGGAAAACAACTATGTGAAGCAGGCTACCAGCTAACGACTCCGACTGTGCCTGAGAGGTGGCAGAGAACTTGAACAAGTAATGATGCAGGCCCCGAGAACAGCACAATTTCACTTACTTCGGGGGGTGAAGAGAAGAGGTAGGAATTAAAGATGACATTTTTAACTGAGGAGACTGGCACGACGTCTTGCCTTTTCTGACACAGGGGACAGAGGAAAGGTCATGAATTGAGTTTCTGAGTTGAGTTTCTGAGATATTCCTGGAGTCTGTAGGTGGCGATACACAGCAGATGCAGGCTGCAGTGATGACTTGGGGTCAACAGCCATTGGGAATGGCTAAAGTTTATCAGCAGGTGAAAATGAGCCATGAAGAAGGTGCTCAACTTGGTGCCGGGAGTGCTCCCAGACAATGTTTACCATGTAGCCCCGCCAAAGGCCTGACAGCTAGCAACAAGCGACTCTGAGTAAGGAGTAAGGAGACTCAGGGATGCAATGAGAGCGGAGGACACCCTTCTGAGACGACCAGTCCAGATGGTTCACAATGCAGTGTCCCTAAAGAAATTCTTGTGTCTACCAAGCAGCACCTGCTCTGCTTTTGTTCTGACTTTCTGGAGGCCTTATTTCCTTGAGGACTATCTGGGATCCATCCTTGGATGCCAGCAAGACTCTCTGGCCTGCTTCGGGAAGGCCAACCAAGCAGGAGGACTGTTTTCTTTCAGAAGACACGTATGAGTGCTCTGTGGTACTAGACGCACACTTGAACTGGCTAGCTCTTGCAATAAGAACAGCACAAGAAGATTAAATGAGGAAGTGTGACATTAGATAACAGAATTAAATTTTGAAGTCAAATATGCAGCCTGGCTCTGTCATTAGCTGGGTGCCCTTCAGTAAGTTACCAGGGCTGCTGAAGTAGGCTAAGCTAGGATCTGTAATGAGGGGATAACACCTACTTTTCAGCCTCATTAAATCACAGGGAATGCCTCACCTAAATCTTCCCTTCCTTCATTACTAAAGATCAAAACTATATGTGAAAATGTTTAAAAAGCTGCAAAGCATGAAGGGTGATTTGAATGGGTTAAGCACCTGCACCACCCTGGGGATACAGTACAAGGTGAACTGGCCACGGTTCCTCTGGAACATTCCCCTGCCAGCATCATCTTCTCAGCTTCACATTTGTATTTACTTTAGAGGGAGAGAAAGACAGAGACTCTGAACCAGATGTTGACTGTATCTGCTTCATTTCCTAAATGGTCCCAACATGCCAGCAGGGTCTTTAGCTGGGGTGGCATGAGCCCGATTTCCTGGTACCACTGACCCCCAACGTGTATCTTAGCAGGAAGCTGGAGTCAAGGGGTGCAGCTGGGAATCCAACGCAGGAACTTAAGCACACAAGCATCCTAACTGCAAAACTGAACATCTGTCCTGAGAACTACATTTTAATTTAAAATGTATCTACCATTTTTGAAAGGGAGAGGGAGGGAGAGATGGCAGGTTCTCATTTGCAGGTTCACTATGCAAACGCCTACAACAGGTGGGGCTGGGTCAGACCGAAGGCAGTAGCCAGGAACCCAATCTTGATCTCTCCTGTAAGTGGCAGGGATTCAAGCATTCCAGCCATCACCTGTTCCCTCCTGGGTGTGCATTAGCAGGAAGCTGACCTTGAACCCAGGTGCTCTGATGGAATGCAGGTAACCCAAGCAGCTCCCGTCCTGCTGAGGATCAGAAGTCACGGAAACAGTCTGAAAGACTCCACGGTGCCTGGCTGAAAGTGAACAGCGTCCTCCTATTTAACCAGCCCACACAGACAAAAATGTTTCACGTTCTCTGCACATGAAAATCTCAAGAGTCAAGCACGAGGGTGGATGCAAGAATACAAAAAAACACAAGCCCAGAGGGAGCTGTGGCCCGGAAATCAGAGTGCACTAAGTGGGTGTTTTAACAACACAGGTCATGCCTGTCAAGAATTCTCAGAAAAAGCAGAGAAAGCTTAGAGTGAACACGAGGGAAAGTTAGAAGCACACAAACAGGAAAACATAAAAGCTCCAAACAAAAGCCCCCTTTTTGCTTATCTTGTGCTTGGTCTTTCAAAGATTATACAAATACAATTTGAAGACCAAAACAAGAACATTTCAAGAGTTCTAAGATTTTATTTAACATCCAACTGCTAATTTCTTTGCTGCCCTAAGAAATACTCTCACAATCAGAAAATTAGTGTTGGTATTTTGTTTATATCTCATGATTTTTTTTTTTTAACATTCATTTTATTTGAAAGGCAGATTTTACAGGGGGAAGGAAAGAGAGGGTTTCCATATGCTGGTTCATTCCCCAAATAGCTGGAATGGCTAGAGGTGAGATGATTCAAAGCTGGGAGCCAGAAGCTTCTTCCAGGTCTCCCACACAGGTGCAGGGGCACAAGGACTTGGCCCATCCTCCACTGCTTTCCCAGGCCATACGCAGGCAACTGAATTGGAAGAGGAGCAGCTGGGACACAAACTGCTGTCCATATGGGATGCCAGAGTTAGCAGGCAGATGAGCTTGATACACCATCACACCAGCCCCATAAATTGGTTTTTCTAATCATACGTGGCCAACAGGCATGATACAGTTCATTATTACTTTGCAAATGTCAGTAGTTCGCATAGCAATAATCACGAACCAATTTCTTTTCGTGGCTTTAAGAAAAGGAGGCTGCATCCCAGACCAGTGTGCCTGGGTCTGAGGTCCAGGGAGGCAGTGGGCGATGGCTCAACTAGCTGAGTTCCAGATTCCATTGAGGCTTCCAAGCTTTGGCTCGGCCCAGTCTTGGCTTCTGGGGTGTTTGGGAGATCAGCCTCTCTGCCTGTCCCGTGGAAGAGCAAACCAGGGTGAGGATGCGCATGGTCACAACTGTCCTTCACGACTGGGGAAGCTGGGTCGGCTCCTCAAGAGGCGTGCTAAGAACGCCTTTAGAAGGAAAACAACCCATCTTTCGATCTCAAAATACAAACCATTACTTTCTATGGTCATGAAAAGGGCGAGTCTGCTGGAGGGTGCTTCGTAGGACGGTCTCAGAGCAGAAAGCTCCATCTCCTAACCATTCTTCCTCTCCCTTCCTCGCCACAGCAGAGCATGTTTCAAAGCACCTAACACAATCCGCCTTGGGCTTCTACACCTACAGCACTTCCTGCACTGCCACCAGTGGCTCTGGGAGACCAGGCGCTGGATTCATTTCCAATGCATGCCGTTGGGAGGCAGGCCCGGTTAGAGCGAGTGCTCAGATCTTCCCATGCTGCCTCCTTGGCACAGAGCCTAGCACCCTGCCAGATGCCTGCTGCTCACCCCTCTGGCGCTCACTGGGGTCCCATACTGGCTGGTCCAGGCTGAAGGCATGAGAAATCTGTAATTACCACATTGAAATTGCTACCCATTTATGCTTTTTAAACTCTATCATTAAACACACGGACATTATTGAGTACTCCGGTAAGGAGCTGTGACTGCCGTTTCCTATCACACACATTTGTCAGGGAAGCCTATTGTTCTCCGGCCTTCCTAACCGCAGGGTTCAGAAGAGGCCCTACTGGGGCCATAGAGTAAGCGGCGGGATACGTTTTAGGAGAAATTTTTTTTTTTTTTAAGGATGAGTTGTTAAACTTGGGAGGAAATCAGAAACTACAACATTGTCAAAGTGAATCAAGTACAAATATTAATTGTCCTAAGCTACACAACATAAAGCATTAAAACACAAATAGCACATGGCAACTTCATTAGATTTTTGCATTTTACTGGCGGCTTTGATTTGACTAAGGCCTTGGTAATGTGTAACTCACACTGGGACGTCTTTGAAGCATCACCACAGGTAACACAAAGCATGATTGGACAGCCTGACACTAGCTGATCTGTAGAAATACAGCAGCTTTTAGGCCCCAGCTCCAGCCATTTAATGCTCTGATAATAATTCAAACAACACCAAAATTCTTGTCTTACATGAGGGTTTTTTTTTTTAATTGTTGTTGCTGCTAAGGCGATACTCAAAAAGCAGCTAGCTGGGTCAGGCCTAGCAGAGGCCACTGTGATAACGCACTGCCCTGTATTCAGAATGGGAAAAGTGTGGAGGCTACGAACAGTGGGTTCTCTTCTGGGTCCCAAGTCTCGCATACGCAGACACAGCCTGTTCTCAGTGCTCCCTGCTGCCTGGCCAGCTGACACCTAAGGTGTCATCCAAGTAAAAGGGGAATTTTAAGATGCTGTTCAGTGCCAATTTGGTGTGTAGATGGGAGGATGGATGGACAAACTGACAAAGTGAGGGAAGAGAAACAACATCACAAAACCTTCAGATTTAATAGAACATTCTTCATGGCACCTCTTGGGATGTAAACCAAATTTGAAGGAAAGGTCATTCTGATGATTAAAGACTTGCATAACCAAGTAAGGCCATTTCTTGACTCCTTCCCAACTGCCAATACAGTTTACTAAAAACCCATGGGACAACAGAGCACATCCACCTCTTTCCAAATGGGGACAGGGTGACTCCTTCAGACCATCTGTAGCCATGGCTCCCCATCAGCTACGCCAGCATGGTGAGGGATAGCTGCATACTTTGGAACCTGCCAGGTCTGAAAGAGCATTTCGGTCCACTTCCACTTCAGTGAGGGTCAGTGGTGTCTGTGTCCGCACTGGTCCAAGTCCTACCCTTTGATAACAGCGATGGGTCTCAGTTTGATGGCCTTCTTGCTGATCCCAGCATCATGGCAGGTATTCACCACATCCGTCACGTTCTTATAGGACTCGGGAGCCTGTGGGCAAGAATCACACACTGTGGAAGTCACTGTGAAGGGGATCCTCACTAAACCTCACTTGGGACACTTTTTGACTGTCAATCCTTGTAGTCATCAAGGGCGCTCTACTGAAGTATCCCACATAGGTGGCAGAAACTCAAGTACTTCAAAACTACCTGCTGCCTCCAAAGGCATGTGCCACCAGAAAGTCAGAGACAAGGAGCAGAGTCCGGGCTTGAACCTGGACACCTCCATATGGGATGTGGATACTCCAAGTGACATCCATCAGCTAGGCCAGGCCTTTACTCTGCAGTCACATCACACCTGCCACTCTACCCGCTGTTGTAGTTAACTGCTAGAGTCTGAACCACCCCTCAGTGTTCTTAAAGACTTAGTAAAGCCTGGCTCACTCTCACGCTCTCCTGCCGTAACTGAATGGTTTCATCACTCGGTGAGAGAATGCTTCCGGTGCCCCGGTGCCCTGCCTCCTTGAGTTCTGCTCCTCCTGTGACTGTAGCCTGGCTTGGCTTCGCCGTCTACTCTCAGGGTCACAGCCCAGGGCTCATCCATCCCAGTGACCACACCTCCCCGTGACCTCACTTTTCAAAATCCCAGCCTGGTGATCATAGCCCAGGCTGCCTGCCTACTTCCATCTACAACTATTCCTTAGCCTCGCCAACACCTGCAGGTCCCCAGCAACAGCCTCAACAGCATGGTCCTTTCACTGTGCTGTACCCCGTGACCCTGCTTAAAGGTAAGTTAACCTCTATTTCATCCCAGCACTACTGAATTTAGCTTGAGTGGGGCCCTGGTGCTGACTGGAAATCACCCAAAATCTCCCTGGGTCTCTCTTTCCCAGATGATGACTTCATATCTTCCCCTGCACCTGCACTCTTGGTGCCGACCCCGCCTCTCAGTACACTGGAAAACTTGGAAGCAACCAGGGTGGAACTTAGGTAAACTTTCTCATGTATCTGCTCCTGTTCCCTTCTCCTTTGACTAAGGACGAGTTACCCGAGGGCCTGGCAGACATCAGCCCACCCCAGTTGGACATATTCCTACCTACTCAGGGCCACTGAGGCATTTGCTCCCCCCTTTTCTGCATCATCAATTTCTTTTCTAGGTTTTTCTCATCGGCAAATACCAGTCAGATCACAGCTCTCTTCTGCCCCAAATCCTTCAGTCTTTTTCCATTTTGCTCAGGGGAAAGGCAAAAGCCCGCCTCTAAAGGAAAACTAACGACCCACACAGTGAGGTGTCCCCTCCTGCCCTGCACCTCCTTCTTGCTGCTCCCCACAAACCCTGGCTTGCTTTGAAATGTTTTGAGAAATCTTATTGGAAAGGCAGACAGAGATCTTTAAACTGCTGGTTTGGTCCCCAAAGCCAGCAACAACCAGGGCTGGACCAGCAACCCAGAAACCAACCGAGGTGTGCCATCCAGGAAGCAGGAGCCACGTACCTGTATTAAGATCTGCTGCCTCCTAGGTCAGGCACTGGCAGGAAGCGGAATCAGAACCACAGGAGCCTGAGCCACGCCCTCTGAAGAGGGGGTCCCAAGCACCATCCCAACTGTGGCACCCACCACTCGCCCTCCTACCTGCAGTAGGAGGTACCTACGGCAGCTGCTCTGGCCACAGTTGGCCTCCTTGCTGTTTCTGTCTTCCTTTTTTTTTTTTAATTGGAAAGTCAGATCTACAGAGAAGAGGGGAGACAGAGAGGAGGATCTTCCATCTACAGATTCACTCCCCAAGTGGCTGCAATGGCTGGAGCTGCGCCAATCTGAAGCCAGGAGCCTGGAGTGAACCAGCGGATGGAAGAGCTCTCTTTTTGTCCCTCCTTCTCTCTGTAGATCCGACTTTCCAATAAAAAATAAACAAATCTTAAAAAAAAAAGTCCCATCTGAGTACTGGCTATAAAGTGTATTGATTTTATGCTGAAAATTTATCAAAACTCCACTTACCTCTTCCATAACCAGTTTGGGCGAGGCCACGCGGATTGCAATCCCCATGTCCGCCAGCTTGTCTAAGACATCCTGGAAGTCCAGGTTACGCCGGGACTTTGCTCGGGACAGTGCTCGGCCCTGGGACAGAGGGAATGGACTTCATTTCCAAATGGAGCTATTTTTTATGTTTGAGCCAGCAATTCTTTAAGCCCTTGGTAATATATGCCCTTTCCTTTATGTTTTAAAACTAAAAGTGTTTAGAAATAATCTGTTCCCATTTTATCAATGTTTTTGCCATAAGCTTTATTATATGCCTTGTGGCAAAGCATTTCTAGCTACAGAAGTAAATTTTTGTGTTAATTACTGTTAAGTGGCAATTCAATGTATAACTATGGGATTTTTTTTCACTGTAAACAGTTATGTGTCATCAGAAAGCCCCGAGTCTTAGTGGTTTGAAATGGTCTCTCAGACCTCAACACTGTGATGTGAAGCCGGCAGTTCTCTGCTGGGGCCACCCAGCACTGCAGCACGGACAGCTCCTCCTGCAGCTGCGACAAGCAGAAACGCCCCCAGACAAAGCCAATGTCCGTCTGAGGGCAGCAGCCTCCCCTCAGCTAAGTCATTCACTGGGTTAAAGTTAGGAGTTGGGAGACAGAAATGAGTAGTCCAAGGGAAGAGAGTGTTATCACTTGTGAAGATCAGTCTTTTGAGGTTCCAGACACTTTCTATTTCCCATTTCCACACGGCACAAGCCCGGACGGCTCAGAACATGGGCTGCCAGCCCACAGTCTGTGCACCAAACCTGGCCAACCGCTTGTTTTGGACAGTTTTACTGGAATATAGCAGTTCTCAACCACACAATATTTATCGGTGTTTCTGCACTGAAATGGCATAGCTGAACAGCTGGTCCAGAGGCCATGTGCCCAGAAAGCCCACCCTTTTCACTGTCGGGCTCTTTATGGAAAAAGCTTAGGGACCCTGGCTTAGGAGAGGCTGTGTGTGAAGCGGAGAACAGACTATCCACGGGCTCTGGTTTGTACACCAGCCAGCACTCAACCTGGAGCAGATGCATCCAATAGGAAGCAGCACATTGGGCAGACAGCCAGGGCCAGTGGCCTGCTGAGCTCAGCCTGATGTCTATCTGCACCAGTTACAAGTTCTATCACGCTAGATCTGCTGCAGTCAGCTCGGCCATGTGACACTTTCCTGGGCTGGATTTTCTGGACTGGCAGAGATGAGGAAGAGTGCCCAGCCCTCCCCTGGTCTCACTAAGGTCAAGATGCTGGATGTTTAGTTCATTAAACAGCATCTGTCATGGGGAACGATTTCAAACAGAAGACAAGGCCATTTAAACCTCAACCTCGTTAGTACTCATCAGGTCCGTTTACCATCAAAAAGGCTAAAATGGAGAGTGCATTCCTATAACGGTTTCCATTTTCCTTACCGCTCCGTGGCAGGTTGTTCCAAAGGTCTCGGTCATGCCCTGCTCAGTGCCAGTAAGGACGTAACTGCAGGTTCCCATGGTGCCACCAATGAGCACTGGCTGTCCAGTGAGCTGAGGACAGATAAGCCAAGCACATTGAAATTCACAATGCTGTTGGCTTTTTAATTTCTAAAAAACATTTATTAATCTGAAAGGTAGGGTGATAGAAAGAATCTTCTGTCCGCTGTACTCCCTAAATGGCTGCAACAGCAGGGCAGGGCCAGGATAAAGTCAGGAGCTAATTCCACCCTGGTCTCCCATATGGGAGACAGAGACCCAGGCACTTGTGCCATGTTCTGCTGCCATTCCAGGTGCACTGGCAGAGAAGCAGAGCAGCTGGGATCCAAACCATTGCTCCTGTATGGGATACTGGAGATGCCAGCACAGCCACATTGTGGGTTGTGTACTGTAAGGTTTTTTTTTTTTTTAAGATTTATTTATTTTTATTGCAAAATCAGAGGAGGAGAGACGGAGAGGAAGATCCTCCATCCTATGATTCATTCCCCAAGTGAACGCAACAGCTGGAGCTGAGCCGATCCAAAGCCAGGAGCCCCAGGAGCCTTCTCTGGGTCTCTCACACGGGTGCAGGGTCCCAAAGCATTGGGCTGTCCTTCACTGCTTTCCCAGGCCACAAGCAGGGAGCTGGATGGGAAGTGGAGCTGCCAGGATTAGAACTGGAGACAATATGGGATCCCGGCGCATTTGCGGTGAGGACTTTAGCCACTAGGCCACTGTAAGTTTTTTATACTCAACATTCAAATTTCAATTGTAGAACTCTGTAAGACATTCTTTTGATTCTTTCCTAATTTGCGGGTGGGATATAAGAAAGGGAGTAACATGCAAGAACAAGGAAAGGCAGCGAACGAGTGAACGTGTCGGCAAAGCAAAATGCTGCCTGGAAGTGGAGCTAGCATGAGCATCCCAGGTGAGCACTGCCCTCCCGTCTCGCGTTCCTCATCCGTGAAGTGAGAGCGCAGATGAAGAGGGACGTCACAAAGACAAGAGACAGACAGACTGTGTTTAAGCTTTGCCCTGTTCTCCCATAATTTAAAGTCCTTAACTCATCTGATAGCGTAAAATACAGCCCACGGAACACTTTGTACACAGCACCCTGCACGCTGGCCGGCACCACCGATGGGCACCGAGTCATTTTCTCACCTGAGACAGATCTGTTTTCACAGCTGCTGCTTCTCTATTGAAAGGCTTCCACACCAAGAGCCTTTAAGATGCCACTGCCTGGAACCCCAGAGGCGGCACTGCGTACCTGGTAGTCGACAGCGATGAGGGGATGGTGAGGCGGGAACGCCCGCGTGGACCCCTTCCTGTGCACCAGCAGCGTCCGCTCCTTCCCATCCACCACATGCTGCTCGACTTTGGCGATGTTGTGAGAGACGTCATAGATCACGTGCAGATCCAAGTCATCGGGGGTGGTATTGAAGACCTTGGCAAAAGCCTGCGAGAAGAGCTCCGGTGAAAAGAGGCAGAATCTGCTCAGACCTTACTGACCAGGCAGGCTGTTCTTGAAGGCAGAGAGGCAATCTAATCTTCACGGAAAGGACAAACCTCGCCTCTCAGAACACAGCAAATCCCTCTCCCGACTTGGTCCAAGGGCTGCTTGGCCATTCTTGAGCCCACCCTTTCAAACTACTTGTCCCACCTTCGGGATCTGCACAGAGGGCCCTTCTTCCTGCTGCTCGCGGCAAGCTCTAGGAACCAGCTTATCTCCTCTTCCTCCCCATGTCTGATATGCTGCCGATGAAGACAAAATCCAGCACCCGGCCCGAGCACTCTGAGTACTTACGAAGTTCCCCACACCGTAGCTGAAAGCATTCAACCCTGAATCACCTGGACTGCCTCACTGTACCTGACGGGTTAGGAACGTCATGGAGGAGCGGTTGACCCAGGCGTAGTTCCCGGCGGCCGCCATGCCCTTGAGGTAGTCCTGACCTTCCACGGAAGCGATCCGAGCACAGGCCAGCTGCCGGTCATTGACGATGATCTTGTCTCTCTTCATGGCCTTTTCCATAGCCACCAGTGCGTCTAGAAGGAGAGTGAGTTCAAACCAGCTAGGCTTCCCTTACAGAGTCTAGATCCATTGGAGAAAGGCAGACCATATTCAAACTCATTCTATCAGACAACAGGTCAACAGGTGAAAGGCACATCCCCTTTACGGTGTTTCTGGTTTTAGCAATTTGTTCGCTGTTCACCCGGTCCTCTCAGTGTAGTTACACCAGCCTCGTGGGATGCAAAGCAGACAGGCGCCCTCTAGGGTCTGGTACAGGGCACGAGTGAGGCATGCGTGCAATAATCCAAAACAGTCCGATTCTCCTTTTCCTACACAGAACGCAATGTCTAACATACACGCTGGAGGCATTTTAATGTCACTGTGGTAATTAGTGACTTAATATAAAAGAGCTAGAGACAGGTTGCTAGGATCTTTAGGGAAAAAAAAAATTCTCTGACAAAATGTAGACAAGTTTTCTGGAGAATTTCCTGAAATTAGGCAATGCTTCGTGTATTTCCCAGAAGAAATCATGTAAATGGGCACACACTACGAAGGCTCCGTGCGTCTGCGTACAACCCTGCATGTCTCAGTGACCCATCCATTATTTCACTGCTTTTGCCATGGATGTGTGACATCATGTAAACTAAACAGCCTACCTCAAGTGCTGTGTGTCTAGGAGGCCACCTCTGACACTTGTTTCACTTAAACATATCTTTTTCTCTTCCACTATATTTTACCACTTATTGCCTTATCTTCACCTTTTCCTTTAAATGACTATGTCTCGGGCCCGGCGCGACAGTGTAGTAGTTAAAGTCCTCGCCTTGCACGTGCTGGAATCCCATATGGGCGCCAGATCTAATCCCAGCAGCCCCGCTTCCCATCCAGCTAACTGCTTGTGACCTGGGAAAGCAGTGGAGGACGGCCCAAAGCCTTGGGACCCTGCGCCCACGTGGGAGACCCAGAAGAAGCTCCTGGCTTTGGATCGGCTCAGTTCCAGCCATGGCGGCCACTTGTGGAGTGAACCATCGGACAGAAGATCTTCCTCTCTGTCTCTCCTCCTCTTTGTATATCTGCCTTTCCAATAAAAATAAAGAAATCTTTTTTCTTAAGTAATCTTTTTTTTTTAAGATTTATTTATTTATTGGAAAGTCAGATATACAGAGAGGAGAAGAGACAGAGAGGAAGATCTTCCATCCAATGATTTACTCCCCACGTGAGCGCAACGGCCGATGCTATGCCGATCCGAAGCCAGGAGCCAGGAACTTCTTCCTGCAGGTCTCCCACGCAGGTGCAGGGTCCCAAGGCTTTGGGCCATCCTCCACTGCTTTCCCAGGCCACAGGCAGGGAGCTGGATGGGAACTGGAGCTGTCAGGATTAGAACCGGCAACCATATGGGATCCTGGTGCGTTCAAGGCGAGGACTTTAGCCGCTAGGCCATGCCGCCGGGCCCAAAAATGAAAAAATCTTAAAAAAAAAATGGCTATGTCTCCTTTATGAGACAATCTGAGGTTATTTTTTCACAGAATTTCCCAGAATACCCAATCTTTTTTTTAAAAAATTTCTTTTATATTTTTATTGGAAAGGCAGATACAGGGAGGAGATACACAGAACAGTCTTTCATCCACTGGTTCACTCCCCAAGTGGTTGCAATGGCTGAAGCTGAGCTGATCTGAAGCCAGGAGCCAGGAGCTTCTGCTAGTTCTCCCATATGAGTGCAGGGTCCTAAGGCTTTGGAATGTCCTCTACTGCTTTCTGAGGCTACAAGCAGGGAGCTGGATGGGAAGTGGAGCAGCTGGGACAAAAACTGGTGCCCATGGGGGATTCCAGAGGTTGCAAGGCAAGGATTTAGCTACTGGGCTATCACACCAGGCCCCAGAATGCCCAAGCTTACAGAGTGGGTGCCTACACCTATGTGCTGACTGTTAATTTTATCAACTCTCTATGCTAAGTACTTCCCAGCTCTTTCTTAGCCACATAGCAATAGTAACCCATAAAAGGAAATAACAGTGTATTTTTTCTTTTCTAAGAACTATCTTTTATTTTTATTCAGAATGCAGTTAGAGAGAGCAGACAGGGAGAGGGAGATTTCACCTGTTGGCTCACTCACCAAAGGGCTTCAATAGTCAGAGTCGAGCTGATCCTAAGCTGGGAGGTTCTTCTGGGTCTCTCAAGTGGGATAGGGCCCAAGCACTTGAGTCATTCTCTGCTGTATCTTCAGCCATAAATAGGGATCATAAGGGGGCAGCCAGCAAACAAACTGATGCCCCATAGGATGCTAGCACCACCGGCAAAGGCTTAACCTACTACACCATAGCACCAGCCCCTACATAAGTTATTTCTAACTTTCCATGACAATACTACATGAAATTATATAATAAATATATTTTCAAAGTCAACTTGTTCAGTGAAGTTCATTTGTTCAAGGTCATAGACCAAGAGAAGCAAGAAAGAAACTCATGCAGCAGAACCGACACTGTGGTATGACACTCTAAGCCTCGGTCTGCAGCTCCAGCATCCCCTATGGACACCAGTGTGTGTCCTGGCTGCTCCACTTCTCATCCAGTTCCTGCTTGTGGCCTGGGAAAGCAGTGGAGGATGGCCCAGAGCACTGAAACCCTGCACCCACGTGGGAGACCCGGAAGCTCCTGGCTCCTGGCTTCTGTGTTCAGCTCTAGCTGTTGCGGCCATTTGCGTAGGGAACCTACGGATGGAAGATCTCCTTCTCCCTGTCTCTCCTATCTCTGTAGCTCTGCCTTTCAAATAAAAATATTAATCTTAAAAATAAAACCTACAGCCTCGTGCAGTACAGTTACAGAGCGTTCTTGGTGAACCCTCCATCCAGTTCCCCATCAAACGGACATTGCGGCATGGACGGCAGACGGTACCTGTGGCGACCTGGTGGCCCAGGCCTCTGCTCCCGCTGTGGATCATCACGCACACCTGGCCCTTGTGGTCAATGCCCATCTTCTTGGCTGCGTACTCGTTGAAGATCTCATCCACCACCTGGATTTCCGCGTAGTGGTTGCCGGCTCCCAAGGTCCCCAGCTGCAAATGAAAGGATGCCTGATAAAACAGCTTGTTCTGTTTAGTTTAAAAAAAATTCATTTATCAACAATTAGGTAAACAAAAAAATCATCAAATAATCAGTGTTTTCTGTAACAAAAATCCATAAACCTTAGAAATGATTCATTCAAATAACTGCATTCTACATTAAAAAAAAAGAAAAATGCCATGTAGACTAGCTTATTATCTGTTTGATGCACAAATAAAACCTTCCTAGTTAAAAAAAAAATTCAAGTCATTTTGGCTTATTAGATATTTGGATCCAAATTTGGAATAAACACTGGTGAAGGTGGATTCTTAGACAAAGTCCAAGTTCAAATGATTTCCAGAACGTCTCTGAGTTCATGAATAACTACCTAATTGAACTGGCTCAAATAGGTGACTCAGAGAACCAGAGAACAGTGGAGCTGGGGCAGTTCCAGATTCCAACGAGAAACCAGCCTTGGCGAGGGTACAGTGGGTCAGCGTCAGGACCACCCAGACCTTGGAATCCCTCATCCCAGGCATCACATGACCTGACAAGCTATCTCTCTCTTCATGTTAGACATCGGAAAACGTGCAGCTGTTCTACAGCTAGTGAAGCGTGCACTCCTGAGATGCTGGCATACACTGTAGGCCTCAGCCTATTTTTCTCTTGTCTACTTTTTTTTAAGGCTTATTTATTTCTATTGCAAAGTCAGATATACAGAGAGGAGAGACAGAGAGGAAAATCTTTGTCTGATGATTCACTCCCCAAGTGAGCACAATTGCTGGAGCTGGGCAAATGTGAAGCCAGGAGCCAGGAACTTTCTCCAGGTCTCCCACATGGGTGCAGAGTTCCAAGGCTTTGGGCCGTCCTCCACTGCTTTCCCAGGCCACAAGCAGGGAGCTGGATGGGAAGTGGAGCTGCCGGTATTAGAACCGGCGCCCACATGGGATCCTGGCGTGTTCAAGGTGAGGACTTTAGCTGCTAAGCTACTGTGCCGGGCACCTCTTATCTACTTCTAATTCATATTTTATTTTATGATTATCTACAAACTCCTGACAGCTTTCTAAATCCTGGGAATCCATTTGCTATTGGAACACATGGATTTCTTTTACAAAATAAAACAGAGCTGTGAAATCAGGAGTGTCACCTGAGGCAGGCCTCTCTTCTTGGCCCGAGGAGACACCTTGTTGGGGTCTGCCTGCAGCATCCTGCCGTACTCCTCGCAGTGCTCCTTGTCCTCGGCCCAGGCGTAGCCCTCTCTCAGCGACCAGTCCACGCCCATCTCCAAGGCCTCTTCCAAGTCTCTGCGCAACGACAAGAGCCAGTCAGTTCACAGCAAAGGTTCACACCCAAGAAAGACGATGTGCCAAGGGGAAGAGGGACACGCCGCAGTGACCGTTTCCTGTGCACGAGGTGTGCGCTGGTCACAGTTCATGCTCCTGGCGACGTCAGATTTGCAAGAGCAATCACATAAGAAATTACAACAGAGACCAGCAATTGCTGTGTGAGACACCGTGAGAGTGCACTCAACAGCTGCACAACTTCTTGTACTTTGCAAATCTTTTTTTTTTTTGAGAACATGTACTTCAAGGAAAGTTACAGAGAAAGAGGTAGAGACTCCTGCTGTTCACTTCCCAAATGGCCACAATGGTCAGACAAGAATGCGTCTCCCATAGAGACGAAGGGACCCAAGCCCGGGGCCATCCTCTGCTGCCTTCCCAGGCACATCAGCAGAGAGCTGGCCTGCAATGAGAGCATCCAGGACGTGAACCAGAACCCACAGGAAGGCCAGTGTTGCAGGCAGCGCATTTTTATACACTATGTCACTCTGCTGGCTCCCTCAGACCTTTTTCTGTATTAGAATTTAATACTGCAATCCTGGTGTCTAGGAGGTAATTAAGCAAACAATGAAATTCTGTACTTTTTAAAAAGACTTATTTTTGCCAAAAAGGCAGATCTACACAGAGAAGGACAGAGAGAAGAGATCCTCCATCTGCTGGCTCACTCCTCAAGTGGCTGCAATGGCTGGAGCTAAACTGATCTGCAGCCAGGAACCAGGAGTTTCTTCTGGGTCTCCCAAATGAGTATGGGGCCCCAAGGCCTTGGGCCATCCTCCATTGCTTACCCAGGCCGTTAGCAGGGAGCTGGGTTGGAAGTGGAGCAGCTAGAATACGAATTGGTGCCCATGCAGCACACTGCTGTAAGCAGAGGATTAGACTACTATGCCACCACGGTGGCCCCAAAGATGGTCAGATATCACTTTCACTGATTTTATCAGCTGGACAATTTCATTAATAATATGTGAAAAATTCCCACCAGACATTGGTATCTCAATTCTCTCAGGTGACACACGTTAAATGTTAAGGTTTATTCTCATCTTCATAAAGGCCCTGTGTGTAGCTTTACTACACCTGCATTTTAAAACTGTAGGAAATAAACATTAAATCCTCAGAGGGAAGAGGGAAAAGGCTTTGGCTTTTATCCAAAGTATAAATTTGTCTAAACAACCCCTGCAAAAACTACAGTTTAATTCCCTTCCCCACTCTCAGTGCCAAACACTGGTAAGCCAACATTCCTGGTCAACCCAGTTACGCGCTCAGGCCACGTGCAGGCGCTGGGCAGGCAGCGCTGCTGCTTGGGATTCTGGCCTCCTGCCCGAGTGCCCGTGGGGGTCCTGGCTGTCCACTCCTGACTTAGCTCCCATCTACTGTGCTCGGGAGAGGAGTAAAAGGTGGCCTGTGCGGTCACGCTCCTGTCAGCCACGTGGCAGAGCTTCGTGACATCTCTGCCTCCTGGTTTTGGCCTGGCCCCACCCTGACTGTTGTGGTCATCTGGGGAGCACACCAGCAGACAGAAGACCCGCCTCTTTTTTTTTCTTTTTGAAAATCGGAGAACACAGATTCTGAAAGGTTGTGGCTTCAATCCTGTTATCACAGATCCACTCACACTCTGACCTTGATTTCCTTTCTAGGCAGTTAGGGATAATAACAGGCTACTGTGTAGATGCAAATCAGGAACAGGCAGGCGCGGCCGTGCTCACTATGATAAACAGCAGTGTTCAAGGCCGTAAAGGATGAACAGCGGTTGTCTGACATCTAATCAATCCATTTACTACTGCATCACGTTCTCCAAGTGCCCTCCACTGGGAAGCGAGGTGAAGGTCACGAGGGTCTTCCCACTCCATGACCTTGCGCTCTTACTTGGCATTCATGGGGATGACACCTTTGGATCCCACCCCGACAGGAATGTGATCAAACATGGCCTGGGCAAGCTGCTCCTTCACCGGCTGGACGTCACTCTCATCCAAGTTGGTTCTCAGTAGGCGGACACCGCAGTTGATGTCAAATCCGACACCGCCTGCAAAACAGAGAAGTTAAAATCAGGGAAACTGGGCAATCAGGCACTGATAACTTCAGCTTCTCTCCATCTATGCAGGATTAGAAACATACTTTTAAACTTGTTTCAGGAGTTCAGGGTTGTGCTGAAGTCATGTTTAGGATGCCTGTTTCTTGTGTCAGAGAGCGGGGTTCAAGTCCAGCTCCACTGTCACCCCAGGAGACAGCAGTGAGGACTCATGTCCTTAGGTCTCTGCTGTCCACAGGGGAAACCCAGACGGAGCTCCCATCTCCCGGGGTTGGCCTGCCCAGCTCTGGTGGTTGTGGGCACCACACCGTGGGGAGTAGCCAGTGGATGACTTTCCTCACTTGCAAAGCACTCCTTTCAAACTAGGCAACAAAGTATCTGTTTACACCAAACTAACCTGTGGTACACACCATGGGCATGTGCCACAGCCACAGCCACTAGGTCAAGCCAACAGCTGTTCTGCCTGCTCCCTGTTCCCGCTGCCTGCTCAGGAGCACCGGGGAGCAGCAGGTGCTCGCTCAAGCAGCTGGGTTCTTGTCACCCAGGAGAGACATCCACATCCAGTCCCTGGCTCTGGGCTTCGGGCTGCCCTGCCCTGCCCTGCTGCGGGGAGCATCTGGGCAATGAGCTACCGAATGTGAGACAGATCAATCTCTCTCTCTCCCTGTCATTCAGATCCCCGCCCCGCCCCCCAAAAGTCCCCTTTGGGGCCAGGGAGGCAGTAATGATCAATGAGTAACATTCAGTAGATGGAAACATTAAATAATGCATCTCTTCTTTTTCTTGATCAGCTGTCATAGGCTGCAGAATCTTACTGTTTCAGATAATCAACTTCTGGCTTTGTTGGCCTTTTCTACTATACTTGTTTTTATTCTTCATTTATTTTTTGACAGGCAAAGAAATGAAAGTGAAACCCCCCATCCACTGGTTAGAGGAGAGAGCGAGGAATCTCCCACTCACTGGTTCATGCCCTCAATGCCTGTAACAGCTGGTTCCGAGCCAGGGACTCCATCTGGGTGGCAGGGACTCACCTCCTAATCCAGTACTGCTGCCTCCTAGTGCGTGCATTCCAGAAGGCAGACACGGGAGGAAGCACTCCTTGTACAGGATGTATGCTCGTTCAATGCAGTGGCTTGAGCACTGGCCAAATGCCTGTCTCACTCTTCAATTCATTTTGCTAGGGATTTTTTGTGCATTTGAAAAGAAAATGTGGGGTCGGCATGGTGACCTAGTAGCTAGAGTCCTCGCCTTGCACATGCTGGGATCCCATATGGGCACTGGTTCTAATCCCGGCAGCTTCACTTCCCATCCAACTCCCTGCTTGTGGCCTGGGAAAGCAGTGGAGGATGGCCCAAAGCCTTAGGACCTTGCACCTGCATGGGAGACCTGGAAGAGGGTCCTGGCATGGATCAGCTCAGCTCCAGGGGTTGGAGCCTTTTGGGGAGTGAAGCAGTGGATGAAGATCTTTCTGCCTCCCCTCGCTTCATAAATTTATTTTTTTAAGATTTATTTATTTTATTGGAAAGGCAGATGTACACAGAGGAGGAGAGACAGAGAAGAAGATCTTCCGTCTGATGATTCACTCCCCAAGTGACCGCAACGGCCGGTGCTATGCCGACCTGAAGCTGGGAACCAGGAGTTCTTCCGGGTGTCCCACGCAGGTATAGGATCCCAAGGTTTTGGGCCGTCCTCGACTGCTTTCCCAGGCCACAAGCAGTTGGCTGGATGTGATTAGAACCGGTGGCCATTCGGGATCCTGGCGCGTTCCAGGCGAGGACCTTAACCACTACGCTGTCGCGCCAGCCCCAAATCTTTCTTAAAAAAAGAAAAAGGCACCTGACTCTCCCACCAGAGCACTTGGATTCAACATCCAGCTGCCACTCCTGACTCCGGTTCTAGCTAATGCAGCTCCTGGGACTCAATGGTGACGGCTCATGCAGCTGGGTTCTTGTCACCCTCGCAGAAGACCTGGACTGAGTTCCCGGATCCTGGCCTGCTTCCAGCCACTGTAAATATCTGGAAAATGAACAAGCACACAAAAGCCCTCTCTACTCAGGAAAGGAACTGCACTTTGCAGGCGCACCTGCCGCTGCACACATAGTGGAGGCCGTAGTGTCGTTTGTTAACTGAGCATTCCTGTCTCCTACCCTGACTGACACTGGTGATGACAAAAGACAAACAGGGCTGCATAATGGGCTCCCACATCTGGACCTTTCCCCACCTCTCTGGATCCTGAGCTCACAAATTCTTACTTTCCTGGACCTTCAAACAGACTTTGAAAAAACTTTTTTATTGTAGTAGGCCTTCTTACTCATCAGGGAAGTTCCTCTGAAAGAACTCAGCCCACGCCTGCGAGGCAGACCTCCACATCGTCAATGGATCTGCCACTCCTCACTCAATGGCGCTGCCAGCACATCAGGAGTGTTTCCAGGACAGGCTTCCTAACCACACATGAAAGTAGCAAGGAACAAAACAAGGAGCGTGAGCCAGGGGCCCAGCAGGAGGCTGCCTTACACAGCCCAGCCTTCTTCATCCTCAGAGTAACTGCCAGGTGGGAAGCAACACAGTCAGACTCAATTCACCTTATGAAAAAGATACAGTCTTCTAGAGAAGTACTCAGTGTTACTCCGTAGTGGCTGTTTAAATAGTACTTGAACACTACTGATTTTTAGGCTTTGAAATCCACAATTAACCTCAGGAAATGAGAGGTCGAGAGATGCACATTGAGAGAAGCAATACCCACAGTGCGATTCATAGTCCCACTGTACAGCAGACCGGCACCTCACCTGGGGACACCACCGCTTCTGGGTCATTCATATCAAAGGCTGCCATATTCCCAATGGCAAACCCATAGCCTGAATGGACGTCGGGAAGCCCAATGGATCGCTGCAAGACAAATAAAGAGACACACATTTGTTGCTCTGGTTGCCCAATGGATGTGCTATCGATTCCCAAACAGGCTCCATGGACAAAGCCTTCAAGTCAAGATCTTGTTTCAAAAAAAAAAATCTGATACAGATGAGATGTAAGAATTCCTCAGCACAAAGCTAAAAATAGGGAAAAACAAAAACCCTTTTTCATAAAGGTAATTAAAAGTCTAAAAAGACCCACCAAAAAAACCCCAAGATATAGAAAAACCACATCTTAATATGTTATTATATTTTAAAGGTAATGTCAAGTTACTGAGAAATTATGGAAGGAAAGCAGGCTGGAATGTGGTTCAGTGGGTTAAGCAGCTGCTTACACAGGAATGCTCACTCCAGCCTTGGCCATTTCATTTTCTGATCAACTTCCTACTTGAGAACCTGGGAGGGAAAGGGAAGATGGCCCAAGTAGTTGGTCCGCCCATCACAAGGGGGATTCGGATGGAGTTCCCACATCTGGCTGCTAGAGTTGTCTGTGAATGAACCAGGGCATGAAGTTTCTCTCTCTCTCCCATTCTGTCACTCTGGCCTTTTTAATATTTATTTATTTTTATTGGAAAAACAGATTTACAGAGAGAAAGATCTTCCATCTACTGTTTCATGTCCCAAATGACTGCAATGGCCAGAGCTGAGTTGATCCAGAGCCAGGAGCTTCTTCTGGGCCTCCTACACAGCTGCAGGGTCCCAAGGCTTTGGGCCGTTCTCTACTGCTTTCCCTGGCCACAAGCAGGGAGCTGGATGGGAAGTGGAATAGCAGGACACGAAAGAGCATCTGTATGGGATCCCAGCACTTGAAAGCGGAGGATTAGCCAACTGAGCCATTGCACCAGGCCCCAATCTGCCTTTCAAACAAATAAACAAATACTTTTTTCCCCCCCAAATACATATTTAAAAAAATATCCAATTTATTTAAGTCATTAGAGTTTAAGTTACCAGAGATGGACAAATGAGAGCTCCTGGGTGACAGGAAATCTCACAGACTTTCTACATATGGAGCCTGGCAAAGGACCCTGTCCCGGGGAAGGGAGGTTAAAAGTGGGAAGGGTCTATGGAGACACCTAGAAATTGGCAAGTTCCTTAACTGCACAAGCCATGGCTTTTCAGCCCTTCCCATCCCCCTTGTATTGAGTAGACATATCAATGTCTGCTTTATGGATCCTTTTTTAACAGTGGAATCTTCGAGCAGTGGAATCTGCAGGCTAGACTGGTCGGGTCCACCTGCTTCACCTATGCTCCTGTTACCATCCTCCTTTTCCGATTTCTAAAACAGCTACACTGCCCTCTTCCTCTCCACTGAGTTCTAACCCTTAAACTTCTTCCTACTCCTTCCCCAAGCATCTGCTGTGCAACCTACCAATCCCGGAAGAGTGAAATGCTAAGGCCAAGGAACAACAAAAGTTCCCCAATGCTCACAGAGCCGAACAAGAGGAACCCAGACAGCGGGATGCTAGCCAGACTCAACTACGTCCTTTTAGGGCCCCTGGTTATTTCTAGATGCCGAAAGTTCACCGTGTACAGGACACTGACGTCTCCTGGGGATCCTGTTCACCTGTTCAAAACAGCTCTAGGGAGGAACACAGGTAGTTCACCCTCTGAACTCTGACTCACATGAACGATCCCAGGCAAGGCTGCCACATTGCCAATCTGTTTCATAGCAGGCAGGAAGCCACCAACACCTGAGGATGAAAAGCCGAATGTCAGCATAAAGGTCATGTGGGACTGTAAGATTTATTCTCCTCCCATGTTTGTACTGTATCATGTGAAGGGCAGTGCTGTAAAGTCTGAGATGCAAGTAGAAGCAGGGCTTCATCCTGACGGAGGGACAGGCTCAGGAAGGGCACCTAACTGCCCTCAAGCATGCTCTCAGTGTTCCGTGGGTACAAAACAGAGCTGCCAGCACCAGAAAACAATCTTCCGGGAGCGCGCGCGCGCACACACACACACACACACACACACACACACACACCACCGCTCTGCTCCAAACGACAGAGGGCAGCATGGAAGGACGGGGAGCAGAGCGGATTCAATCATGAGAACCGGGATCCCAGGTCCAGTTCTGTTACTTGGGAGCTGTGCCATTTTAGACAAGCGAGCCTGCTGCGTGGGGAAGAGAAGACTTTAGTGCCGATCTACAAAAAAGGTCTAAAACAAGAGCATTTCATCACCACCATCAGAGTAGGACTGTAAAGAGCTGTACACACTTCTGCGTCACCCTCACTGATGCCCTGCAGACAGGTGTCAGAAACCCTGCTTTACAGATGAGAGAACTCAAGTTCAGTGTGTATACCCAAGAATACTGGCCTGACATCAGACATCCCCAGATCTGAATTCTGGCTCCATCACCAAGATGTGGTAGAACTGTGAGTAAAATCTTGTTACCTCACTGAAGCCTGACTTACACATGTGTGAAACAGAGACAACAGTCCTTCCTGCTGCTCTAAGTGTGACACGAGTTTATTTACACAAAGTACTGCATATGACGCTGGCTCAGGTAATCCAGGATACAGCTCTTGCTGTTATTCAAGGTTAGTTGGGCAACAAGCCAGCTCCTACCAACTCCAGACCCTTTCTAAAACTGTGATCACAGACAAGTAAACTTTGTGACTTTTATCTCTATGTGATTATTTTAAGCAAGATTAAACAATTATCATTCTTTGAACAATCGTCTTTTTTCTTTAGGTCATCACCAGGGAGGCCCCACCTATACCAGAACAAGTGACAAGGTCGTGTACTTACCACCACCCCGACAGGCGTTCCGCAATTCCTCAAACATTAACTTCTCCAGAGCGTCATTCACGTAGAAGACTCCTTCAACCTGATACCAAGGCAGAGGAAAAACCATCTCAGGCCTGCACACGCACTGGGGAGAGTACCATGCACACGGGCTGGGGAGAGTGCCCTGCACACACACTGGGGAGAGAGTGCCCTGCACACACACTGGGGAGAGTGCCCTGCACACACACTGGGGAGAGAGTACCCTGCACACACACTGGGGAGAGAGTACCCTGCACACACACTGGGGAGAGTACCCTGCACACACACTGGGGAGAGTGCCCTGCACACACACTGGGGAGAGAGTGCCCTGCACACACACTGGGGAGAGTACCCTGCACACACACTGGGGAGAGAATGCCCTGCACACACACTGGGGAGAGAGTACCCTGCACACACACTGGGGAGAGTACCCTGCACACACACTGGGGAGAGTGCCCTGCACACACACTGGGGAGAGAATGCCCTGCACACGCACTGGGGAGAGAATGCCTTGCACACACACTGGGGAGAGTACCCTGCACACGCACTGGGGAGAGAGTGCCCTGCACACGCACTGGGGAGAGTACCCTGTACACGCACTGGGGAAGAGTGCCCTGCACACACACTGGGGAGAGAGTACCCTGCACACACACTGGGGAGAGTGCCCTGCACACGCACTGGGGAGAGAGTGCCCTGCACACGCACTGGGGAGAGAGTACCCTGCACACACACTGGGGAGAGTGCCCTGCACACGCACTGGGGAGAGAGTACCTTGCACACGCACTGGGGAGAGTGCCCTACACACGCACTGGGGAGAGAGTACCCTGCACACACACTGGGGAGAGAGTACCCTGCACACACACTGGGGAGAGTGCCCTGCACACACACTGGGGAGAGAGTGCCCTGCACACACACTGGGGAGAGTACCCTGCACACACACTGGGGAGAGAATGCCCTGCACACACACTGGGGAGAGAGTACCCTGCACACACACTGGGGAGAGTACCCTGTACACGCACTGGGGAGAGAGTACCCTGCACACGCACTGGGGAGAGTGCCCTACACACGCACTGGGGAGAGAGTACCCTGCACACACACTGGGGAGAGAGTACCCTGCACACACACTGGGGAGAGTACCCTGTACACGCACTGGGGAGAGAGTACCCTGCACACACACTGGGGAGAGAGTACCCTGCACACACACTGGGGAGAGTGCCCTGCACACAGTGCTTGCTTTGCTTTGCTCTTTATGAAACAACTCCACACTGCCTTAAGCAAGCCAAAGACTACAGCATGCTGGCCCGATGGCTCATCTGACTACCCCTCCACCTCCAAGTGCCAGCATCCCATATGGGTGCTGGTTTGTATCCCAGCTTCTCTACTTCCTATCCAGCTCTTTACTTATGGCCTGGGAAAGCAGTGGAGGAAGGCTTAACACCTTGGGACTGTGTACCCACATGTGAGGCCCAAAAGAAGCTCCCCGCTTTATACTGCCTCAGTTCCATTTGTTGTGGTCATCTGGGGAGTGAACCAATGAAGATCTTTCTGTTTTTCCTTCTTTGTAAATCTGCCTTTCCAATAAAATTTTTTAAAGATTTATTAATTCGTATTGCAAAGTCTGATATACAGATAGGAGGAGAAACAGAGAGGAAGATCTTCCATCTGATGATTCACTCCCCAAGTGTCTGCAAGAACTGGAGCTGAGCCAATTGGAAGCCAGGAGCCAGGATCTTCTGCCGGGTCTCCGATGTGGGTGCAGGGTCCCAAGGCTTTGGGCCATCCTTGACTCTTTGAGACTACAGACAGGGAGCTGGATAGGGAGTGGAACAGTTGGGATCCAAACTGGCTGCACAAATGGGATCCCGGTACAGGCAACGCGAGGACTTCAGCTACTAGACTACCCTGCTGCGGCACCCCCAACAAAAATAAATCTTAAAAACAACAACAGCAGCAACACCCTCACCTTTAAACATGCCTTAAAAGTGTATTCTGCAGTGTTCATTTGTTTGGTGCATTCTCCTGCTCCCAAAGCCATATGTAAGCAACAGGTAAAGAAGGGAACAGGACAGGCAGCTAAGAGGCTTTTGAGACTCCCATTCGCCAGGCTGCAGTGCCCGGGACTGAGTCCTGGCTCTGATCCTGATCCCAGATCCCCGAGTCTCCCATTCCCTAGGCTGCAGTGCCCGGGACTGAGTCCTGGCTCTGGTCCTGATCCCAGCTCCCTGTGACTGCACAACCTCCTAGAAGGTGGCAGGTAAGGGCTCAAGCTGTGGCAGGCATTTGGGGGAGGGAACCAGCAGATGGAAAATGTCTGTTTCTCCACCTTCCAAGTAAGTACAATGCATTTAAATTCAAAAAGAAAACTTTCGGGGGCAGGCGCCATGCAGTAGTAGGCCAGGCTTCCACCTTGCAGCGCTGGCATCCCACATGTGCACTGTATGTTGTCCCGGCTGCTCCATTTCCTATCCCGTTCCCTGCTTAGGGCCTGGCAAGGTAATGCAGCAGGGCCCAGTCCTTGGGACCCTGCACCCACATGGGAGATCTGAGCAGTTCCTGATTCCTGGCTTTGCTCACAGCCCCGCCTGTGACAGCCATTTGGGGAGTGAACCAGCAAATGGAAGCGCTCTCTCTGTCTCTCCTTCTCATTGTAAATCTGCCTTTCAAACAAAAATAACTTTTTAAAGAACTTCTGATTCACACACAGGAGTGTAAAACTTGCATGGCACCTTGGCATCTTTGGGAGCTTTCCACGGCCGCTTAGCGTACATGCAGCGCAATCTCACAGATGTTTTCACACGCTTGGAAGCTAGGAGCACGCAGCCTGGGCAAGCCCGAGAGACAGTCCAGACCGGGCTTACAGACCCAAAATCCAGGGAGAGTTTCTTACGAGGGGTGGGGTACAGCAAGCTGGGTCACCCAGACCTACAGGGTCCCTTTCCTGAGGCATGACTCTGCTAGGGCCTCTGCGAGGAAAGGAGCCGGCTGACGACGGACCGACAGGGAGCGAGTAGGGCTACATCACCAGCTGGCGCGGCCAACAGCTGGCTGTCCATGTCACTGTGGGTACCACCGGTGGGACGCAGGGTCATCCCGGAAAGGCCCAGGGGCTCCGAGGACGGGGGTCTCCAAGGATCGGGGGGTTCCGAGGACCGGGGAGCTCCAAGGACCAGGCGCTCAAGGGACAGGGGCTCCGAGGACCGGGGAGCTCCAAGGATCGGGGGGGGTTCCGAGGACCGGGGAGCTCCAAGGACCAGGCGCTCAAGGGACAGGGGCTCCGAGGACCGGGGGCTCCAAGGATCGGGGGGTTCCGAGGACGGGGGGCTCCGAGCACCGGGGGGTTGCGAGGACAGGGGGACTCCAAGGGTCGGGGGGCTCCGAGCACCGGGGGCGCGGCGACCTCCCCGGGACGCCCGCTCCCCAGCACTCCGAACACACCCCGCTCGTCCCGGCCCGGGACAGGCTGCAGGCCCGGGCCCGCGGGGGGCAGCGGGCAGCGGGAGGCCGGGCACACTCCCGCCTCACCTGCATGTTGGGCACGAAGCCCTTCTTGATCCTCCAGCAGTTTTTATTGATCTTGTCCAGGAACTGGAGCTCATCATTGTAGCTGCGACTCATGGCGGCGACACTAACTCCCAACTCGGCGCTGCCCGGTTCCCCCTGCGCCGCCTCCAGGAGCGCAACGCGCAGGCGCGGCCGAGGGGGCGACGGCAAGAGCCGAGGCCCAAAGCTCCTCGTACCAGTCGCTCTCTAAGTTTGCTCACTTTCGGATGTCGGCTAGGCTAAATCCCGAGATGTTTAACAGGAAGCGGTTGCCTTCTTAGCAACTCATCAAAGCACCCCGAATCTAGGCCAGGAACATTTCCGACAGAGAATATGTCAGCTTGGAGGTTGCCCCCCCTAGGAAAATACTCGCCAGCAGCAGAAAAAGTTAACCACGTTTGAATAAATACTGAAGACTTGTAATGTTCCAGAATGAATCTGAATATACGAGTGACTTTTTTTTGGTCTGAAAAGGCCTACCAGAGCCTGAAACATGACATTATTATCTTCTGGGGTTATCTATTGTGTTTCCTCGTCTGTAAAATGGGTATATCATTCTCTTGAGAAGTAGGCAGCACAGCGCTAGGCAGTCTGGTGACTCCATTTCCTTCAATGCTGCAAAAGCAAAACGTGTGGGCTTTTATTAATTAATTCCGTTACCCACATCAGCTCCTGTTTCCTCTCCCCCAGCATCCCATGGATCACATGGCTGAACAAAGTTAACATCGTTATCAACTAGGAATTGCTTAGGTTTGAACCTAGGCACTGGGAGGTGCCTAAAAGAAATCATATGGGCTCCGGCACAGCGGCTCAATTGGCTAATCCTCCAACTATAAGCGCCTGGATCCCATGTAAGTGCTGGTTGCTATCCCAGCTGCTCTACTTTCCATCCAGCTCCCTGCTTGTGGCCTAGGAAAGCAGCAGAGGACGGCCCAAAGCCTTGGGACCCTGCCCCTGCCTGGGAGACCCGGAAGAAGCTCCAGGCTCCTGGCTCCAGGTTGGCTCAGCTCAGGATGTTGTGGCTATTTGGGGAATGAACTAGCAGATGGAAGATCTTTCCCTCTATCTCTCCTTTCCAAAAATCTGCCTTTCCAACATACATAAATAAATCTTTTTTTTTCCAGATTTATTTATTTATTGGAAAGTCAGATATACAGAGAGTAGGAGAGATAGAGAGGAAGATCTTCCGTCCGATGATTCACTCCCCAAGTGAGCGCAACGGCCGATGCTATGCCGATCCGAAGCCAGGAGCCTCTTCCAGGTCTCCCACGCGGGTGCAGGGTCCCAAAGCTTTGGGCCGTCCTCGACTGCTTTCCCAGGCCACAGGCAGGGAGCTGGATGGGAAGTGGAGCTGCTGGGATTAGAACCGGCAACCCATATGGGATCCCGGTGCGTTCAAGGCGAGGACTTTAGCCACTAGGCCACGCTGCCGGGCCCTACATAAATGAATCTTAAAAAAAAGAGAGAAACGATGTTACTTGCAGATTTCCTTATGGTTAGCTTGCTCCTCAGTGGAGAGATTGACCTTGAGAGGCATCCCACTTTAAATCAAGTCTTAGGGCTAATGCTGTGTTGAGCCAGGCTATGTCTCCACCTGTGGGGCTGGCATCCCATATGGGTACTGGTTGGAGGGCTGGCTGCTCCCCTGCTAATGGCCTAGGAAGCAGTGCAGAATAGCCCGAGTCCTTGGGCCCTGTACCCACAGGAGAGACCAGAAGTAGCTTCTGGCTCGTGGCTTATCTGCCCAGTTCTTGTCATGTGGCTATTTAGGGAGTGAACTAGTGGATGAAAGACTTCTCTCTTTCTTTCCTTCTCTCTCTGTTACTCTACTTTGCAAATAAATAAATAAATCTTAAAAAAATAAACAAATTCTTGATATATGTATATACATACACACACAGAATCAGTTTTTGCCTGGTTAAAAAAAAAAAAACTAAGTCTTCTTCTCTTTTCTCTGTCTTATTTGATTAAAAGTTTTCAGGGCAGGACATATCTCCAATAAAACCTGGATTGGTATAGATAGAAAACAATTTTAATTAAACACAGAGGGGCAGTAACAGCAAATATAAAACAAACTCCAATACAGAGGTGTGAGAAACACTTTGGGGAGTTGCAGGGCTTGCCCCGGTGACACGGGATGCTAGAACAGACTTTCGTCTCTTACCCCCATCACAGGTACACGCCTGTCTCTTACCCCCATCTGAAGTACACGCCTCGCTCTCAGCTTCGGAATCCTAAGAATTCAGGCACACAGAGCATGCGCGAGCCCAGACCCCGCCCCTCCGTGCTCGGAGCACACATTCTTGAACCCATTCTGTGTCCTTCTAGAGAGTTCCTGCCAGAACACTTCACAGGGCCTTTACGATCCCAGCAGGCACTGTCGTCGCCCTCTGGGTAGACAGCGGCTGTGGGGTTCCCGGGGTGGCCTGCCAAGTTGCAGTCAAGGGGCTGGCTTGCCCCACCACTGTCCATGGATCAGGTTCAGCTCTTTCCAACGGGGGAGGCTTGGCTGCTGCTTCAAGGACCTTTCGTGCTGCAGGTCGGTGGAGATCAAAAGGTAACCCTGAAAAGGATGCAGAGGTGCAGAGATGAACGGGATGCGCCCCCAGCGCAGCTCTGGGCGTGAGGGCTGAGGGAGCGAGGTCCCATTGTGTCACGCCCTTTCCCCACGCCTAACCCTGGCTGTAAGGTCTCAGACAGAGCAACAAGACATTCTTGATTTACAAAGGCACTTCAAAAAAGATCAGTGGAAACAATGGCTCTTAAAGGGACACGTATTTTGCTGCAAACATTTTTGAAACCCAGACGTGTTCTTTCATGATATGCATTTGCATGAGCTTTTTGAGGACCCTGCATACCATCATGGGTTGTGACTTAACTGTACACGTGGCAGTGCCAGGTGAGGGGCAGAGTAGGGAGCAGGCCTCCTTCAGAAACTCCACACAAGATAGTTCATAGAAAACGCACATCATGGAAAAACTGCATGACTTTAAAATGGCTGTTGCACAAAAATATGTCTTTTAAGTCCATTTTCTATGAGTGTCTTGAAGTATCTTCGTAGTTCCATCTTCTCCAACCAAAAATAAATGCACAGGTCAACAAGTGCCAAAAGAAAGGCCATAAAAGTCAGTCTGAAGCTAGTTGATGTGGTCACCAGGAAAACAGCTGTCAGTAGGTCTCTGAGCCCAGAGGAGGGTCTTAGTTCAGAGAAGGCCCACTGATGGGAGAAGAGAACCTGTCACAGCCAGCCGTGCCCTCGACCGCTCCCTGAGCCACGTTGCCTCTGAGTCCTTCATGCCTCATCAGCAAGGCGGAACGACAATTTGTTTTGTGGAGAAAATACAAAGCATGTTAAAACACAGCTGGTGGGGGGGGGCATCTACGCTGTGGTTAAGATCTCAGTGCCCCATTTGTAGTACCTGGCTGGAATACCGGCTCCAGCTTCTCACCCCAGCCACCTGGCAATGCAGATCCTGTGAGGCAGCAGGTGAAGGCTCAAGGCACTGGCTTCCTGTTAGTCATGTGGGACACGAAGGTTGATTTCCTAGCTCCCAGCCTCAGCCTGGCCCGATCTTGGCCATTTGGGGCATGTAGGCAGTGAACAAGTGGACAGGAGATTTCCCTGTCCAATGGCCTCTCATGAAGCAAAAAAAAAAAAAAAAAAAAAAAGGGTGTGCCTTTGGTGCCGTGGAGTGAATAAAGGTGGCTGCCAAGTGAAAATTGAGCTTGGGTTGATTTATGAACTGATGCTTAAGTGGTTTTCATTGCTAACTGCAACTTTTTTTTGGAATTAAAACATTTGATTTTCTTTATAATGCTCTTTGCATCGTTGAGAGGGATGCACACCCATGTGGGCCTCTGATTAGGGTGGGGAGCTTCAGGGATGGAGGAAGGTGGGTGGGACAAATATTTCATTTTTCTTTTCCTCCTGTGTCTGCAGGGGAGGAGAGGAAAGGTGCCGCTCCTTGCTGTCAGATTGGGGGACAGTCATTTGAGGACACCTTAGCGGCTCCGATGTGGGAAGAATATCCCGTGGGTGTTACTTGAGTGATTTTTGATAGTTCTGAGCCTTTGTTGGTTATGTTGCTCCGGATCTGAGAAAATCCTTTCCAAGGTCTACTGGTTGCCAAAGTGCACCTTAGTGCTTCCACGAACCTGGGAACATGTTGCAAAGTTTGGCCAGGAGAATTATCTAACATGTTCTGCTTTATATCCTGTGATGAGGCAACCCAGCATGGCCTGCACGTTGTCATGGTTCTAACTCGTGTCAATGTGTGCTAGGGACTGACCCTACCTGGCCCAACCCCTTGACCTGGTTTATATGTATGCCAACAATGCTACAGCCCAGAACTGCAACCTTTTAACAGCTAAAACTTTTGCTCACAAAATTCCTTAGTCTAGGAAAAGACATGGCAGTAACAATCTAAAATACAAAACAACCCAAACAGGAGACAATTCATTCTTACAGGAAAAGAGACAGGTTGGTCAGGAGATTTGTATTCTTACCTCAAGAACTTCAATATTGGAATTGATGAGTGAGATTTCATATGGGTTGGGCAGAGGGAATCCTTGCTGCAGTTTTGCTAAAATATAGAATAAGGCAGGAGATCATTGAGTGTGGATACAGGAGTTTTGGTAAACGTTTTGGTAAAAGACTATCAAGAGACTTCTCACTGATTATCTTTTTATTTTTCTTGGTGTGGCATTTTCTGATCTGTTCCAAGCTTTTCCTGGAAGAACTATCAATTGAGCCATGTTTAACAAAAACACACCTCCAATTATGTGCATTTGGACAGCAGAAAAATGCTGTTCACCTTCAAATTGCCCAAATTACATTTTGAAAATAGTTAATAAGTGGGTCTGGAGAACATTTTGGTGTCTCATACAGAGTCTTTTAAATAAACCAAACTCTAAATGCGGCAGTTCATGGATAATTGTGGTGTGGGGACAAGGCCCGGGGATTCCATGCATGAAAACTATGTTTACCCAGAGAGTGGGGCTTGCCTAGCAATCACAGAGCTGCTCCCCAGGGATGATGAGCTCATTTCCTGTGGACCTGAAGATGATGCTGCTGCCTAGCGGGGTGGTTTCAAATGTTTGGAATTACCCATGCTTGCTGAGTGTGCAAATGGCTTGCATCCAGAATAACTAGTTTTGCAACCAAATTGTTGATGGCACAAACTTTGTAAGTCCTGGCTCTGGGCTTTTGGGTCATAATAATATTCTAAAAACACTTTCCACTTAATGTTGGAAAGTCCCAAACAAGCCCCAACATTTAGCCATTTCCAATCACATCATTTCCCATGGATGTATTACCGTTGGCCAGTGGGAGGACTCCAAAGTGAAGGATGGAGGATAAAATATTCTCAAACCTCAGGACCTAAAATGAAGAAGAAAAACCACATTAGCAGTCAAATCAGGGTGATTTACAAGCACCGTGGCTGACTGAAACATGCGCTTTCCTGGAACAGATCAAGATCCAAAACATGAAGGCGAATCTTCCCGTAAGGATGTACTAGCGTCGTGGGACACAGGTTTTCCAAACTCTCCGCTCACTGGAGGACACACGTGCTTCCTTTTGGGTTGGATCCTGGTGAAAGCAAATGCAGAGAGGCCACAGGATGGCAGCAGAATGGCAGCTTCCACACCTACCAAGGAGATAACCAACAAAAGCTCCCAGTTGACATCCTTTGCTTTCATCAGGGACTTTTCAGCCGCAGGAGTTGCCTTGCATTGTGTTATGCTCTGAAGTTAATGACACCATCAGAAGATCCACTTTATCTTTAATAAACCATGGTGGTTATATAATCTGAGCAAAGTGTTGGTTTCTGAGAGGATTAAGGTGTTATTCAGCCCATAATAACGATCATTTCACCTAGTGAATGATGTGTGTGTGACTTAACGTGTAGCATTCCAAAGAATCTCTTTGGAGTTGAGCAAAGGTGGCTTTCTAAAGCCAGATTCCCTAGGCTTACCTCTTGGTTTGCCATATTTACTCTATAATGTTGAGAAGGTTATCCAGCCTGTCTGTGCCTCAGTTTCTTCAACTGTAAAGTGAAGGTAATAGGGGAATGATCATAAAGGGTGTTTGTGAAGATTAACATTAGGGGGTTGGCATTGTGGCTTAGCCTCCTTTGATATCAATATCCCATATTACAGTGCTGGGTGGAGTCCCGGTTTCTGCTTCCTACCCAGCACATCTTGCCTAGAAAGGCAGTGGAGGACGGCCTGGGGACTTGGGCCTTGCCACTACCCACGTGGGAGAACAGTTTAGAGTTCCTGGCTCCTGGCTTTGGCCTAGTCAGTCATCGGGTAATGGGCCAGGTTTATATCATTGTTCTTCCCGCACTTCTTTGCCCCCAGAAATGCCATGATTACACATGACACAATTCTGTTATTAATACTTAGCAGTGTACTGGACCTTCCCAGATTTGGACTCATTTTGTCTTGTCTCTGGACTCAGGACGCACTGTTTATGAGAAAGTCAGCAACCCATTCTCATTGACTACAGCCTGTCATCTACCAAATGGCTGTGCTGTGGGGGTTCTATCCTGTAGAGTGTGAGACAGCACCTTAATGTGTGGCATGAAAGCTAGGGTTTATTTTCCAGCTTACGAACACCACTGCTCCTGGCTGCTAATCATCCTCAATTCAAAGTTGGGATATTCCTGTGAAATGAAACAATTCCAGTTTATTTGGCCTCCTGGCTAAATTCTCTGACATCTTGGCTGTTTTCCTCTATTCCTACTGATAATTTTTCTTCTGTTGTTGAATGTGGCAGTTGTTAACTTCAGCACTTATCATGTCCCAGGCTTTGCCTTCCGAGGGGTTAAGAAACACATTCAAGGTTGCACAATCATGAGTGGGAGTTTATGCTTCTAATCTGGCCTCAGAGTTTATATATGAAACTATTACGCTATGCCATCTCTTGACGTAGAGGGAAAAGAGCTGAAATAGTTATTATAAATATTAAAAATGACATTATTCCAATTTAATAACCACCATGTACTCAATATACAATTTCAACAAATCCTCTCAACAGGCCCAAGGCTTAAGCCGTAACCCCACACTTATTTGCCCTGCCTTGTTAGATTTGGTCTTTATCCATGTGTTGTGTCTGCACCCCTGTTCCATTCTTATAAACTAAGCATGGTTCTAGCCGAGTCTTTGGAGAGCAAAATCCATGCTATTAACCTCTCTGCATCAGTGCTCGCTATGAATGAATGAAGTGGTGATTTGGCCTCTCCTTGAAGTCTGGGGGAAAGGAGTTTACAAGTTGCCTGTTGAGCTTTCCCTCCTCTAACCAGCAAGTCATCAGATTGAGCTCTCCTCCCTGTCTTCCCACCTTGCCTGGCCCCAGCCCCCTCAAATCTATAGAGTCAGCCTTGGCTTAATTCCAGGAGATGAATGGAAATCATTAGAAAAGAACACCCAATCAGAGCCTAATAATTTCCATGTAATCTCCACTAATGGGATACTGGGATATAATTGCATTTATTTATTTTCATATTTTTGGCTATAAATTTAACCTTAGAGGATTATTCTTTGAGCAAATGAAATAATCCCAATGCTGCCTGTTTTCCCAGCATATGTTTTGGTCTTTTGAGTTCTTCTTGAAGTTTTCCTGAAGAAGAGTAAATTGGAGAGTTCCCCTCTGGCTTAATTGCAGTGAGGTCTGTGGATGAATAACTACACCCATTGCTTGACCCAACTTTACTCAGGCTCCTGATCCTTCTACACCCTTTCTTATTAAGTACAGTTTTGGCAAAGAACCTAAGTCAATTCCTCTAGAGCTCCCATCCTTGATTCATGATCATTCATTGATATCTAACCAAGTTCCTCATCTTCTATCATCCCCTGGGAGGTGATGTCTGATCATTCCAGCCTGTCTTCAGTGGGAATTTTGTCTGGCTGCCCTGGCCGGAATACGCCTCGCTGCTTATGCTCTTTAGCACGTGACTGGCCACTGGGGTGGACTCGGCTCCCCGGCAGTAACGAGCTGAGCCCCACCGCAGGACTCCATTGTGAACTCCCTGTTTCCTAGTGTGGTGATGGGGAGCACAGTCCTCAGTGTGCTCAAGTGAGCAGGCTGCAGTCACGTCTTCTCTACACTACACAGGAACGCTCAAGGGAAAACCCACAGCCGTGGAGAGATCATGCGTTCAGAGGCCTGGAAGACAAGCATCCCTCCTGACTGGGACCTCACTCTTCCCTCCGCAAGGACCTCTGAGAGCTCTGACTCCTACCTCAAGGTTGTTGCGATTCGTTTCTGGCAAAGAGAGGCGGAATCTGAAAGAAAAAAAAAAGTTAAAGGAGGTTCATGATGACCACTTTCATTGAAATAAACAAAACAGATTTTTTTTTTTTAGTTCAGAAAGTCACTATTAAAAATACAGTACAAAGTGGGCAGAGTTCTATTTACATCTTCTACTCTGTATTTCGCTGCTTACAAAGCAGAGCAGGAACAGCAAATGTTTGTATTTGTAATAAGTGTAAGTTTCCCACCTGTGTTGGGAACCTGGAATACAGAACAATCTGAAGAAACAGTTTTCAGGTCTTCTGGTTCTGCATTTAGCCTTCTGACTGGCCCGACTCCTTATTGTAGACCCAGATGATCTGAATCTCAATCCTATGCTCAAAGATACAAGTTCAGCCTAGTTGGTGCAGTGGCCAGTTGGGATGCCTGTATCCCGTATCAGAGGGCCTGGGTTCGAGTCCTTGCTCTGTTTCTGATTTAGGTTCCTGTTACCGTGTGCCCTGGAGGACAGCAGGACATGGCTGCCCATGAGACTTGGGTTGAGTTCTCAGCTCGCATCCCTGGCTATTGTAGGCATTTGGACAATAAAATAGTGGGTGGGAATCCTGTCTGTCTGTCTCTGTCTACCTCTTAAGTAAGTAGACAAACAAACAAACAAACAAATACTCTGTTTAGACTAAGAGACATCCCTCACAAGGTCACTTTACCCATATCATTTTTATAAAGCCGCTTAAGTAACGCATGAGGTAAATATTTAAGAGAGGTAAAATGCACTACAAAATAATGAAGAATTCCTCAGTTTAAGCCCTGTTGCTTCAATACCTCTGTAGATCTACTTTATTTCCCTGGCCTTAATTTCCTCATTTGTAAAATATATGTGAGAATCATACTGGCCTGATAGAGCCATAGTGAAAATTGAATGAGGTGATGCACATAAAATGCTTCCAACAGTGCCCAGTTTATCCTTAGCACTCTACAGATAGGAGCTGTTACTCTCAGGAGAAACGATCGTAGGTCAGAGCGTGATGTCCTTGACAGTCTCTGTCCAGGATCAGCAGGGCACCTGCTCTAGAGGTCTGAGTACCAGGGAGGCCACACCTAGACGCCTGGTCAGGGTGAGTTACAGGATGTTCTCATGTCTGATGTTTTAAGTAAATATGATTTAGTTATGAAAGAGAGAGACTCAGAGAGACTGAGAGAGAGAGAGAGAGAGAGAGAGAGAGAGAGAGAGGTTTCATCTGCTTGCTTACTCTCTAAATGCCTGCAACAGTTGGAGCTGGACCTTGCGACCAAAGCTGGAAGCCAAGACCCCAATCCGGGCCTCCCATGTGAGTAGCAGGAAACCAATGACTTGAATCATCACTGCTGCCTCCCTGGGTCTGTGCTAACAGAAAGTTGGTGCCTGGAGCCAGAATCAGGCATGGAACCCCGGGCACCCGGATGTGGGATGGAGCCCAGGCACCCGGATGTGGCATGGAGCCCAGGCACCTGGATTTGGGATGGAGCCCAGGCACCCGGATGTGGGATGCAGGTATCATAACTTTGGCCATTGGGTCAAATGTCTCCCTGATGCTTGATCTTTCATAGAATTTACATGTGAAAGCCAAAGTCCCACACTGCTGCTTTCTTTCCCAGGTTTTTCAAGGAATGGTCCATTAGTAGTCTTTCCCATATACGAAACCTCTTCATTTTGGAGATTGGGAAACTGAAGCCCAAAGACAGGGAGTATTATTGGCAGATTGGAGGATGGGACTCGTCCTAGAGTTCCCTTTCTTGAAGGACGTGCCCCCCCTTGTTGGCCTCCCACTCCATCCTCCCCCTTAGCATTCCAAGGCTCACTTTTGCCTAGATTTAGCACTTCTTTTCTACATCAGCGTTGAAATGAATCTCCCCAGTTCCTGCCTTATCCTTCCCAACCCACCTCCCACACCATCCCCAGAGTTACAAGTTTGCCTGATGAGGACACTCCCCCGATCAACCTGTTTCATGGCTTGTGATAAATCTGTGCGTTTCTTGTACTGCACAGGAGACTTGTGGTACCCAGCTCCCTGACGCCTCTTCACTTTCTTCTCTTCATTCTCCACCTTGACCTCCAGTCTCAGTAACCCTGAACTGCTCAGTGCTGTGCTGTTGTGGTCATTAGACCCTACGGGCCTGAGGTGAAAAAGATCAGCTTAAAAGCATATACCAATGGTGCCAGTGCAGTGGCGCAATAGACTAAGCCTCTGCCAACTAGTGCCAGCATCCCAAATGAGTGTCAGTTCCTGTCCTGGCTGCTCCGCTTTCCAATCCAGCTTCCTGTTTATGAACTGGGAAAGCAACAGAGTATGGCTCAAGTCCTTGGGCCCTTGTACCCACATGGGAGACCTGGAGGAAGCTCCTGGCTCCCAGCTTCAGACTAGCCTAGCTCTGGCCATTTGGGGAAGGAACCAGCAGATGGAAAAACTTTCTTTCTGTCTCTGCTTTTCTCTCTGTAACTCAAACTTTCCAAGTAAAAACAAAAGCAAAAACCAAAACAAAACCCCCCAAAACCTAAATGAATCTTAGAAAAAACCCCACCTAAGAAAAACTGAAAAACTAAAATTTATGAATGTCTGCAAACAGTATCATTATGGCCTCTGGATACTATCGCTCATTGCTACTCATCATAAGATACAAATCTAACTAGGGTATTTAAACAAATTTGTGAGAAAAATGAGTTAAACAATACATTTATTCAGGTGCAAAACATCTCAAGTTCAAACATAGTTTTTTTTTTTCCCTAAAACATCCTTATATTGCTAGTTGCCCATATCTGAACATCTTTAAGATATTTTTGGTTGGCGTCTCCGAGTGTTAGAGTGATTCTGGACAGAGAAGGTGTGGACATAACCGTGAGTTCTTTCCCAGCACACCACCTGTGGTTGGCCTCTCTGCCTTTGTTCATGTCGATCCTGCCTCTGGGAGGTTGTCTTTCCCCTTGCTCATTCACTCTGTAACAGTTTAAGATTTAATTCAGGTATTTCCTTTCAAGAATTATTCTGTTACTACATTGTCTTGATACAAAGGCATTGAAAATGTGCCGAATTTATTTGAAAAGCACAGAGAAAGGGAGAGAAAGAGAGAGCTCCCATCTACTGGTTTATTCCCTAGATGCCCATGGGAGCCAGGTCCAGGCTAACTCCAAGGCTTGAGCTGAGAACTTGATCGAAGTCTCCCAGGTGAGAGGACAGCAGCAGCCTGGAGTCAGGCATGGGGCCACAGCTGGAACTCAGGCACTCAGCTACGATACATGGGTGTCCCAAACAGCACCATGACCTTTACGTCAAAAGCCTGCTCTTGTTACTACACGTGAGGAGCAGACATTCACAGAATCCTGTTTACTTATATCAGCCAATAGCACATGAGTATCAAATCAGGCTTTCGGATTGTTTCAAATTGCTCTCTGAAAATAAACACCATAAAAACTGTAGTCTGGTGAGGATCAGAGATGAGCTCATGGGCATTGTGGCTCAAGCTGATCTCAGCAGAAAAGACCCCGAATCCGCTGGGGCTCCTTGAAGGCACTGCTGATGGAAATGTGATGGGGCCGCCTGTCCTGGCCATACCACCTTTTAGGAGGGGTTTGGAAATTTAACCTACATAAGAATAGGATACACTTGTGGGATTCTCTTTTTCTTTTCTCATCATAAGCCCAAGCCTCTCCTGGTCATCTCAGGACTTCCTGATTTGAATGAACTTGCCTGAGATTTCCCACGAACAAGACTGTCCTTTCCTCCCTGGCTGTCCTCCTTTTGTCTCTCCCAATTCTCCAGGCACACCTGCCAGGCTGGGTTACTAATAGATCCTACTTACCACTTGGAGCAAGGGGCTAAGTCTCCCTGTATTTGGTTCTGAAAGACTGCTAAGTTCAAACCAGCCACTAGGTGACGCCCAACTTCCATGCTTTGACTTACCACCCTCTACCAGGCTCCTAAGTTATTGCTGGACGTCCTAGATTTGGAGCCAACTTCACGAAGCCTCTGGGAAAGAGGGGAATTTGCGTAGCCCTGCTGTGCAGACATATGAAATTATGGTCTATTTAAAAACTGTTAGAGAAGATGTATGGCCCACACTGTAAACCAAAGCTAAAGTGCAAAATGCTTAAGTGTCACGAAAGGTTCTTTGTGATTTGGGTTAATCTTGCAAATGTGAATCAGGAGTCAAGCGTTGTGAGCACTACCAGTGTCATTCCTCCAACTCCAAGTCCACAGCAGACATTGAAATCAACTCTTGTTTATGTCTTTGATCAGTGACTAGAAACCCCTTGAGGGTGGGAACCCAGTCCTAGCCATCTTTGTATTGCTTGGTTTGAGTACAGATCTTGACACACTTCAACACTGAGTGTGCATTCATTCACTCATCCAGTAGATACTTACTCAATGCTTAATAGCTGTCAAAACTGGGACAGGTGCTGCTAAAGACAAGACTTTGGCAAAGCCAGGCGTGGCCACTGTTTCCAGGCAGCTCACCTTCGTAGGGGAGCCAGACACTGGCCAAATAATCCTTCCTGGAGGGGACAGCACAGCTGGATAAACCTGGAGAGGCATATGGGGGTTGACTAGGCTGGGTGACTCAGGTCATTTTAGGACTATGTACGTCACATGAAGAGCAAGGTAGCCACTGATAGTTTTAAAAAGATGCTTGAGAGCCTGGCGCAACAGCATAGTGGTTAAAGTTCTTGCCTTGCACACGCCGGGAGCCCATATGGTTGCCAGTTCTAATCCCGGTGGACCTGCTTCCCATCCAGCTCCCTGCTTGTGGCCTGAGAAAGCAGTTAAGGACGGCCCAAACCCTTGGGACCCTGAACCCATGTGGAAGACCTGAAAGAGCTCCTGGCTCCTGGCTTTTGATCAGCTCAGCTGCAGCTGTTGCAGTCACTTGGGGAGTGAACCATTGGACGAAAGATCTTCCTCTCTGTCTCTCCTCCTCTCTGTATATCTACCTTTCCAATAAAAATAAAAATCTTTATTATAAAAAGATGCTTGTATTTTGTAAATATTCTGGCTTCTAT